GAAATACTGAAGATGCGTTTTTTCCGTTTTTTTAGGAAAATACTGTTTTCTACCTAACTCCGCCAAAATAAGTTGAAACTTAACGATATTTTCACATATGGTAGAGTTTAGTGATAACTTTCTTTTGACGAAAGGATGAAGTCTCTATCTGTCAGGGAAGCTGAGATATTGCAAAATAAAAAAGGTCTTAAACTTTTGAACAGCACTGTATATATAAAAATTAAACCGGTCCTGAAAGGGTTAAATCTATTCAATTGATGAATAATTTTATAAACAAATAACTTACGTGGCATCTGAGTTGGAAAAGGTGGAGGTGGTGGAATACAGTTTGACGAATAGACATTGTGATTTGATGTTATTGTTGAATAACTTGATGCACTTGTTGGCGCTCCGGGAGGTGCCGAAGAAATCGACGATGTACTACTACTCGGTGAACCTAAGAGTAAAAAAAGTAAAAGAAAATTGTCGCCCATATCTTATGAAAATGTCCATTAAAACAAACCTCGTTCATGATTATGATTTCTTCTTAATGTATTAAGTGTTTGCGTAATATCATCACGTTCTTTCTAAAAGTAGACAAAGAGTTAACAATAACTAGTCACATTGAATTATATAATTCATATTTTGTACCTTGACGAATTCAACTTGTTCTTCGGCAAGATTCAGAGCTTTTTGTAATTCAGCTAAAAATAAAATAAGAAACATATTGTTCGACATATATTCGATTGCTAAGTAGATCATGTTTCTTTTCAACGTTCTCAACATATGCAACTAACAACGTTCTTTGTTCTAATACAAGGGAAAAGTTGTGAAAAAATATTGCATTTTTAATATAAATTTCAGAATTACATACTCGTTTTATTGACATGTTCTTGTTCAACATCTTGAAATCTTTCATTTGCCTAAATAAAATATTAATATTAAAAAATTTAATAAAATTTTACTAATCGTCTCGTCTTACAATTGCTAATTGTTCTTCTAATTCTGATACTTTTCCAATTGCTTGTTGTTTTGTTTCAGAATCTTCTAATAATTGTCCAACATCAAAATAATTATCTAAATAGGCTTGAATTTGCAATATGAAACGATCACATTCACCATAAAGTTCTTGATATTTCTAAAAAAAACCAAAAAGTCATTGTTATTAAATTTATTTTCTTATATTTCTCACACACATATAATCTATACCTTTAAACAATCATCTAAACCGAGTAGTTTGAATTCTTCTTGTAGATGAACACGATAATTCATATCTTGAACTGAATGTACAACAATATTAATAAATTGTATACAAGCAACCTAAATACACGTATTACACAAATGAAATAAAAAGTAATTTCATTTTTTTTTTTATAAAACATCATTTTTATCCATACCATATAATCAAAATTGAATTCAGGTGCTTGTGTAAAAGATTTCATTAATGTTTCGAATCGATGTCTCTCTTGACAAATCTATTAAAATATAAGAGAAAAATCGTTTCGTTTTTTTTTTTAATATTAATAACGATAATGATATTCTCACAATTCGAAAATTATCAAATGCATTTAATATCACATCATGTCCAAGTTCAACAAGACAAACGGCTGCCAAAAGTTCCAAAATAAGAGCTTTACATCTAAAATAGTAAACAATAGAATTTAGTAACAAGTAAAATATCATAAATATATAATAAAAATCACCTAAAGTTTTTATGTAATAAACTTAATGCTATATAATTCATTGCTTCACCATGTTGAATAACAAGATTAAAACCATTCTAAGAATAGAAATAAATTTGTACATATATTTGATAAAATTTTTAAGTATATGTTTCAGAGAAGCAAGATGTTGAATTAATTCATCATGCAGGATCATTTGCAATAAATAAAAAAAAAGCGACATCTTTTTCATTTAAAAACACTCATTCAGTTACGTACAACAGATAATGTGTGTAGTTCCAACAATTTATATGCTAAAATTTTGATATCATAATCAAATGGATATCTTAAGACAATTTTAAATCAGTATTTTCTCATTAGTACGTAAAATGTAAAAATTTTGAAAACAAAAAAATCTTTAATTGATCAGATGACAAGAGCCTTACTTGATTGTTCATAATTGCTCTTAAACACATAATACATAACCGAACATCGTCTGTTGCTTCACCAATATTATATTTTTTTATTTTACGATGTAATTTTTTAGCATCACTACGTCCAATTGTTGAACGTTTAAAAGTATCAGTAGAACCATTATTTTGACTTAATAATGGCGAAGGCGATGGAATTGATAAATGATGATTATCTGTATGATTATTTGTTGAACCATTATTTTGATATGATAATGATGTATCTGTTGATTCTATTTCTCTAAATTTAATAAAATAAAACAAAAGTTGTCGATTATCTCATATAAAAATAATTTATCTTGACGGTGATATTAGCAGAAAACAACACAACCAGTGAATATGTTTTTTTATTCCAAAAATATCCCAAGCATATTAACACCTTTTAGACGGGAAACAAAAAAAGTCGTTTTCATAAAAAACGACTTTTTTCGTTCGTTCGTTCAGTAAAGGTGTTAAAATATCTAAAGCAGTATGTTTATGTAGACAAAAGCAATAGTGAATTGTTCTCCTTCGTTAAGAAACTTCATCATCACACCACGTACACCAAGCACTAATAGTATCTAATTCTTTTTCTTGTAAGTATATCAGCGTGTATAAGCGCTATTTGCAATCTTATTGTACCATTGAGGTAGAAAAAAAAATGTCAAAAAAATAAATAATTTAAAACAAATCTGAATCCTCTGTTATAGAGTACTCTACGAGAAATTCACGGAAAAAAAAATTTTTCGACTGTTTGTCCTGTTTTTCCCTAATAAATACAACTGTAGTGAAAATATTTAGCAAAACTTTCCGACCATATGACTAGAGAAATCGACTAAAATGGAACAACAAAAAAAATAAGTTTTATATACACGGAATAGATCTTGGCGAAGCTAATCTAACGAAGTGAATTTTGACTTGTCTACAGTAAGACTATGTTTGGTTGAGATTTAGACATATTTATTCGCAGATTTATCATTCATTCGGATTTTTGGTACAAAAACAAATTCTTCTTTTTTTTTCTCAGTGGTAATGAGCATGAGAACATGTGAAAGGAATAAAAAGAAAAAGAAATTATTAAAAATGGTTGAGCAGTAAGTACATGTTGTTTATTTACGTATCAGTATCAAAATATACAATAACATTGCAAATCGCTTATAAATAGATGTTTAGTGATTTGTGAGTGTACAGTCAAACATTTTCCCTTCTGTGCAATTGACGCTAATAAAAGCTAAATTTTTTTACCGAAGTAATCCACAAAAGAATAGATGTGAAGGAGATTTTCGACTCTCCTTTAATCTATTATTATTATCAATTTCTTGTTCATTATGATTTACATTATTATTGTTATTATCAACAATCGAATCAAATCTAGTTTAGGAAAATAATATGTGAGAAAAATAAACAAAAACGATATTCTATTTTTTTTGTTTGTTTTTTAAATATTCTATGTTTTTTTTATATGAGTCTTTTGGTGGAAAAAAAAATAAACTAAATAGAAATTTTACATACCTCATAACTTCTAATGATGTTTTTAGATAATCTAATAAAACATCTAAACCTTTATTACTATTACTTAAAAATTCATGGACCCAACTAAAATGAAAGATATTAAAAATGAAAGTAAAATATTAATTTGTATAATATACGAGAAATTATCGATAGATAAACATACCCAATATTGTTGGTTCTTAAAGAAATTTCTAAACTTGATAATAATTGTGTTGAATGTTCAATTGGATGTTTTTTTTTCTGAAAATAAATTATTAATCATAAATTTTCGTTTTTTTCATCATATCTATTAGATTAAATTTTTAATAGACATACGTACCAATGTGGATGCTTTCGGTACAAGATTAGCGCCACGAATATAAGCTTTTAAGGCATTCACATAATAAGATGGTGGATGTTTAGCTGTTACTTGATCCTAAATGAACAAAAATAAACTGAGATTATAAAGAAAAAATTAGAAATTATAGTAGAAAGAAAGATATATTACTTGATCACGAATGATATCCCATTTTTTCTCTGGAGGATATTTCAGGAGCTCTTTTAATTTATCGGGTGGCAAATCCATTGTTGACTACAAAACAGAAACTTTTGTTTTAAATTAAAAAAGAAAAAAAGAATCATTTTTTACAATTGTTCGTTGAAACATTTCATCCAATGTTGCATCGTCTGGTCTTATATTTGACATTTTGTCTAAACTGCCAATACTCTAAAAAAAATATAAATTTAATGTAACACATAGTTCATTAAAATTCATTATTCTATATACTTTGCCAATAGTTCGTATTTTTTCTGATGAATTAGATATTGATGAATTTGATTTCAAAGATGGTGTGATTGTTGACAACCATCTTTGAGATGAAATTGAACCACCGTTAAAAGCCGTTATTGTCGATAATTTTAATAAAGTGATTAGAATAAATGATTTTTATTATTAAGAATACAAATCAATATTATTATTATTATTATTATTATTATTATTATTGTCCTCTATTAATGATTAAATACATCATTTTCTTTTGTACAACTAATCATCGTATGTATATATATATATATATCTAAAAAGTAAGAAAAAATTAGAGATAATAATAATAGGGGTGATGATTTTTCGAAGGGAAGAATATGAATAATGTTAAAATGAAGAGTGATTTTCTGAGGAACGATGGCATGTCTCAGAAAGATCTTCTTGAAAAAGATAATCAAGTAAAAAATCTGTTTAAAACGATATTTCTTGAAAAATCTCTTCAATGTACGAGACAATCGATTCTAATTGAAAAACGGATGATCAAATATGCGATTATTCATTGTTCAGCGCCAATAAACTAAAATTTTACTCTAAATTTACTCTCTCCATCAATAATTCTTAGATTTTTTGCTTTTTACCATTAAAATTTCAATTTAAAATTAATTTTATATGTTTGAATTACGCAATTGTTTAATAATAGGTTTTTTGACATATGTAGTAAGTATGATGACTATTGTCAATAATTCACAAATATCTGTTATCATTTGTTTTTGTTTTTTTTCTAGCTTTATATGCCAATTCTCATCTTAACTCAAAGAATTATTTTTCGTTTAAAAAATCCCTTATTATGGTCTATTGGACTTCTAGAAACATTAATATATATTTTGATTGTTATATCACTATACAAATATTTTATTTATATAAAAAATATAAGTCTATTTCGAATATTATTATTTATCGGTGTCTTATTATTAACAGCAAGAAATGTAATTATGTTTATAATAATAATATACCGTGATTTTACTGATTTTAAAGATAAAAAACAAATTATAGAAGGGGCGATTCGAGAAAATGTTTCCATACAAAATCCAAATGATCCATTGTACATTGCTGCAGCAAAAATAATTTTCTTTCATCAATGTTGTGGAACACAATCTGAACATTATCAGAATATACCGGGTGAAAAAATTTTTTTTCAAAATAATTTTTCACAATATTGTAAAAATGTTAAATTACGAGAATTTCAAGAAAAATTAAAAATAAAACAACGAGGATCATGTTGGAAAACCATAATAAATGATATTAAGATAGAATTAATTATGTTATCCGTTGGTCTAGGTATTGGAATATTACTTATGTTATTGACATGGCTATTTCTATATCAAAATCGACTAATATTTCGAAAACAATTTATTATCAAAAGACCTCTTTCATTAGCAACAGCCGACACACTCAGTATTACATCATCGACATCATCAACAATGACCGTTACTACAGTTGTTAAACCAAGAGTTTCAATCAAAGCAATTGCTAGACAAATACCATCATCATATGCTACAACTCTTCTACCATTAGCAACTCTTGTTCATTCTCCATCTATTCTTCAAACGGCTAAATTTATAAACAAACCATTATTCATGTCATCCAATGCTAAAATGCTTCAACTAATACAACCAATTTCTGACTCTAAATTTCCTACTTTATCTAATCTACAAAAGACAGTACTTCCACGGTCACAAACTATTCCAGAATCTACCAAAGGTAGAAAATTTCGTAATCTATATTTCACTGTATGTGATGATGACGATTGATGAGGCTTTCTATAATATAGCAAATAATTGATTGATGAAGTAATGATTGATAAGACGAACAAGATAGATGAAAAATACATTACGTCGTCAAGTCTTCTGATGATTAAACTAATTGTTTTACAAAAATGTTCAACAACACACATAGTCAAGAGAAAATTTTCTTTTTTTAGAAAGTATTAAAAGTGCAAAACATGAAAATTTACTTAACGAACCATACAGTTACACGTTATTGTTTATTAATTAATTAGAAAAAAGTGTCATTTACAAGTTTTATTATATGAATGTGTAGAATGAGACTAAAAATACTATTTTCTCTGTATGACCTTAAGAGGAATAACACAATCTTTGACACATTCATCTACACGCACGTAGCTTGACATCAGACTGACAACAATCAAATAATCTCTGAAAGGACGATTAAAATACAATTACGCCTTCTAACATTGATTCGTTTTGGTAAAATTCTTAAAATGAATGATGCAGCATGACGACTATTTATTACGTTATCTAATGTCTAGCTAACTAAAATCGAGTCCTCAAAAAGTGTAAAAAATCAGTTATCAAAGATATTGATTTTTTCACAAGTGAACTCCGGTACTAAGTTTTTTCGAATATACAACAAGACAAAAAATAAAAATAAAACGAACAATTTCTTTATTTACTTCATTTCTACACCAAATTTTCTTGAGAAAAAAAAACAACATTTTCGTTTGAAATTAAAATAAATCCTACTGATCCATATCATTTTCTCTTTTTTCTTCCCTCACATATATAAAGGTCATTTTCATTTATTTTTTTTATAGCTGCTCATAAAGGATATAATCAAAAAAAAAAAAAGAAAAACTACCGTTGCAGTGGACTTTTTTTTTTATTCAAATTTTTTTTTGTCAAATGTACATATCTTCATTCGTTTATTCAATAATCATAGTTATTATAAATCACAGAGTAGCAAACGAAGGAGAAAAGAAGAAAAAAAAAGAAAGAAGTACATGTTATATCGCTATAACTAATCATATAATACCTAATCATATAAATCTGTATATCATGCCAAAGGTTTGATAATAATTAAAATAGGAGCTGACGTACTAAGGAGCTTTTATATCTGATTCTCATATTCTTCTAAAATAACTATTCTATCTATATTATTCCACCTTGTACTCACTTGAACTCAAATATTTTTGCTTAACTCAAAAGTTAAGTCTCGCCAGGAACTTCACTTACAACTATAAAAAAAAAAATTTCAGATAATTTTTTCTCGAATTTGTTAAAAACATTTCACCTTTTGCTGTCTGTTTGTATAGAAGAAATGTGTACACATGAACTTCTAATCGTTTAATGTCGCTGAAAAAGAATATGATCTTACGATTTTTTTTTTCTTCTGATTTTTTTTAGTACACATTGCGAGAAGTGGAAAAAAAAAGTAACAATAATAGGTTGATACCTTCCCTTTTTTTTTCTACTTTTCATCTTCATCCGTTTTTTTTTTAACGTCTTCCATCGAAAAGAAATATATTCGCAATAACACTAATGTGGAGCTGATAGATTGATTCATTTAAGAAAGAAAACAACAGCAATAGAACACTTAAAAATCGAAAACTAACCTCTCAAAAAATCGAATAATATTCAATCCTTTAATCACATCACTTACTAAAAACATAGATCGTCAGCTCTTTCTAAGATAGCAGAAGTCATATTTATTCTACCAACATACACTCTCAATTACTCCGTTGATGTTCTCTTTCTCTCTCTCTTTCGCTTCTTAAAACAAAGTACCTATTGGTTGGCATGAAACATATCATATCGTTCATTTCCCTCTTCTATCTGCTTGATGATGTTCTTAGTTATAATATATATATATATATATATTTAGATCTAGATAGATATTAATATGTATGTCATTATACTTGTTCAGCGCTTCTATAGTTTCTTTTTCAGCCATCAATTAATGGCTATACAACCGACGTGAATTGTTTTCTGTGTGCATGTTTATTATATTAAATGAAGAAGGCAACCAAGAATGAAAGGTCAATTGAACAAATCATTCACGAAAGGAGAGATAACAGTACTACTAGTACTACAAGAGAATGAGATATAAAATGTTACATACACATGACTATTTTTCTTTTCGTTTTATTGAAAATAATATGCAATTACATAATCTCGACATGTGCTTCTTCTAAACATTATAATCACGATTACGAGTTTTAATCGAAAACACACAATCTACCTCTTAAATGAAAATACAAGGTCTTTTTTAGAAATTTGTTTCATCCAGTCATGATGATATCTAAGAAAAAAAAATTATTAAGACGGATTGATTTGATTTGCACAGTATTCTACAATTGTGTAGTAAAAGTTTTTATTTATTATTGGATTCAAATTTCTGTTCATCTTATGCTTTTGTGTCATCTAGAGGACGACTATATGTGGAAAAGAAGTATAAATGATAGATCAAGGTATATCAATATTATCCGGTTTTCCTTATTTCAGTTTATTTAACGATTTGTGAGAGTTAGAAATTGAATATTATAGGAAAAAAATGCATTTTAAAAGTTTAATCAAGTCTCTTGACTCTATAGGAATATAGTTGGTAGGTGTGAAATAAATATTACATTATTTTTGTTCTTTTATAATTGATTTCTATCGCTAGAAGAAAAAGAAATTATTGTGAACTACTTGTATGTTTTTAGCTAATAATGATCTCACCCAAAGGCTATTGTGACAAATAAAATTAAATAAATAAATAAATAATAATAAAAAATAAATAAAATAAACGATAACGGAGCCAACAATCAAAAAATTAGTTTGTAAATCTCGCTCACTCAACTACTCTCTCGTTATCTATTCTAATGTTGTTTAAAACAAATGCAAAAAGATAATAATACAACGGGGCTTTGACACATCAACGGAAATATACTGAAAAAACACAATTTTCTCATGCAAGAGATTTCTTAAAAAAGCAAATAGTAAGTGTTCAGTGAGAAAACATGACCGTCTGTGGCACAATGAGAAGACACTAGTAAAAAAAACGATATTTTATGTTACTGAACACTCTTTCTAGACGGTTTGGAAAGAAAATATAATTTAACAAGCGTTTAAGAGAAGAGAGTCTTGAGATCCAAAGGCAAAAAAGGATCTTTCAGGAAAAGATGACTGTACTTGAAAAGTGCGGTTTTTTTCCTGTTGAACATAAAGGCATCAGTGAGAAGTAAAATTCATGCATTAAAATTCTGTTTTTATTGTCTGTTTAAAAGATATCTGGAGAATTCTTTTTCAATGTATCGTTAAGCAAGAGTAGCTCAATAAAATAATTACATTTTTGAAAACGGTACATTGTTCTTCAATTTTTGAATCCTTAAACTCGACCAGGTCTCATTCTTCACATTACTGACACATCATCCTATGAAATATCGAATGTAGGAAGTGTTAGAAGGCAGGTCATTAACTATTTTTAGGTTTGTTTTATGCGGTCGAGCCACTCTGACTGCAAGATACATTCAAAAAAATTCTCCGGATATCCTTTTCTCGAAACATCGTCTCTTTGACTTTAAAACTCAAAACTCTCGGCACACTTAAAAGCTTTTTAAATTATATTTGCACGAATCTTGTATGGAAATTAGTAAGAGATTTTTCATTTAGTTTTCTCAACACGTGTCAACACAATCATTACCGAGGAGCATGAATAGTCGGAATTAATACGTGCGGTTCTCTATGTTATCGAATAAATAAATAACTCGAACGTAACAAATTCTGTTAAATTAAAAAGGAACTGAAAGGCCGATACGGTTTTAATAATAATAACAATTTAATCAAAATTGATTAAATCAAATTGAAACAAAAGAAACACAGAAGATTTACCCTTTTTCATTAGAGCACTCTGGGACCAACAGAAAATTATCTGCTGTCCTCTGAATAGTTGCCTTACGATGTCATGATCGAGTTCGAAACGGGTAATTGTGGACTCATGTTTTTGTAGATCCAGAGAAGTATTCGATAACTCTTCTTTCAACAATCACGACTGTTAGCTCCTTTTAAGCTGAAAATAGGTTTATATTGACAACCGCGATTATCAGTAGAAAAATTATCGGACACTTATCTTGACCGGTTTTTAAGCCTGTTGTTGCTATTATGTAAAATTGTAAAGGTGAATAAAAAAAAGAATGGAAGCTTGAAGTTATTTTAAAAATTTTTTTCTTCTTTTCTACTATGTAATGAAATGAAATAAACAGCCTAGCATCACCTTAGATGTCGCTATCACCCGGATCAACGAAAACTGACATTTAATAACTTATACATGCCCAGGCCAAACAGAGCGGTCCGTTAACAGTGTGAAAACATGCCGTTTACGGTCAGCGTTAATATGCCGTTTTTACACTGTTAATTTACGGTGTAAAAACAGCCCGTAAGCTACGTTTATGAAAACGGCACTTAAACGGCCACCGTAATTATCACGTAATATATGAGAAAATTAGTATATCCGATTATATTCTTTCGTGTTTCTATCCGCATTGTCTTTTTTGAACGTTCGAATGCGTTGTCATTTTGTGAACAAATTTCGGATTTTTGAGATTTTTCCGCAATTTGTCCGCATTTAAGCATTTTTTGTTGCTTCCCTTGGTCTAAAATTCGTTTAAACTCATCGTTATCATAATGCACTGAAATTTATAATTATTTCTTATCAACGCCTAAACTGCTTAAACTTATTCATTCTAATCAAAAATATACAGTCCAAAAACAACGTGTCAATTAAAATCGAGATTTATATTTCTGTTTGTTGCTCTCTTGTGTTTTATTGAGTAAAACTACAGTGCAAGAGAAAACATTTTTTTGACTCTCTGGGCGTGAAAAGAGGATGAAGTTACCCAGACCTGGGTAACTTCATCCTCTTTTAGCTAGCCGCCTTCGGCAAAATATTGCTCAGTTTCTAAAAGTCGGACATTTGTGAGCATTTTTGTTAGAAGTTTGATATCGATTTTTTGGAAGACCTCTCAGCGTCGCGCAAATATTTTCAAAGCACAAATTTATAGGTTTCAGGTTACGGCAAGTCTGAAACTTTGCTTTAAAACAATTGCAAACTTTTTCTAAGGGTTTTTTGAAGCCTAGGTCTCTGGAAATCCCCTGAAAAACCTCTGAAAAACCTTCCACGACTCACCTTTGCCACACTGCTGGAAATACCGTATGCGAAAACCTATAAAAAAGTGCTTTTGGATTCAAAAAAACTATGTCGGCAAAAAATGCCGCCTGCTCTATGAGGAAATGCCCACTGTGTACCTTTACCAAATTGCTATAGATTGTAAACTATCTCTTTTTTTAGGTACTACTACAACGGCCGTCAGTACCTTTACCACGCTCACTACCTCTTCGACGACAGCAACTACGAGTGCGTAGCTGAAACTTTACCGGTATCGATGTTGAAACCCAAGCCAGTCATTTTTAGCGTTTTGAGTGCTTTGCATAGAAAGGAAACTCTTCGAGCCTTCCTATAGCTCAATGTATTTGTAGGAAATATTAAGAGAGCCGTGAATGTTTGCAGGCAAGGAAAACCAGAGTATTAGACTTTGTCGAGATTGAATACAATCATAATAGATATTGTTCCTCTTAGTCTGTCCTCCTACCTTTACCAAATTGGTATAGACGGTAAACTATTTCTGACTTTAGGTAGTACTACAACGTCCGTCACTACCTCTACCACGCTCACTACCTCATCGACGACAGCAATTACGAGTGAGTAGCTGAAACTTTACTAGTATCGACGGCATAATAGAAGGCAGTCGTTTAGCTTTTCAGTGCTTTTCACAAGAACGAGATAGAGACGAAGGAAATTGAGAAAAGGCTTCTAATATTGAATAAAAAATTTCTATACCCCAAGCACGTGGTGGAAATCTGTGTTGGATTTCCATATCCACTTCTGTGTTCATTAGAATTGGCATTCAACGAGGAACAAAAGTACGTTCTCCTTTTTTCAAAATTCTTTTCCGTTCTTAAGATATGTGCTTTTTATTGGAATTTTGGCACTTTCATCTAAAAGTCGGGGAAGCCGTTTTTCGATAACCTTTTTACTTTTCATTCAAAGTCAATGATATTAATACACAAATATGTAACAAACGATGCTGAATCTAATCAGCACATTTTCAAGATCTCTAAAGATATCTAGAGAACATTTTGCTTTACAAAAATATCACATATGCTAATTATCAATATTAGTGTTCCTTGTTTTTCGATGTGAGATTACTGTATCTTTACAGAGATTGCTAAAGGACATTGCTAACACCTCCTTATAATCTTTTCCTTCGTTATAAGCGTTTAAAGTGTTCAAAAGGGTCTAAAAAATTTCACATAAACGTTTTTTTCAACAAAATTCGATCTCGAATCATTAATTAAAGTAATCATTTTGTTAAATGTTTGGTCATTATGTTCACGAGCATATTGTTTTAACTGACACGACATACCCTCAATTGCATTCATCTCACAATGAAATGGGCCCAAAAATGATTTTAACTCCGTAATCCCAAGCTGAGCTTTCCAACTTTGATATCTAAGAAGTAAAATTTATACAGAAACATTTAGGTTACAAGAAGAAGAAACATCTTCAATTGATTATTTTTTTTCCTTAAATTTATGAAAGCAGGATATTTGATTAATATGGGTTTTAACTCATCCAATTTACAACTAACCGAAACAGTCAAGGTTAAATCCTGAGCAGTTTGTAACAGTCCTTTAGACTGGCCTTTAAATGGTCCCGATGTAAAATAACAGTTTAGAATTTGTTTTTTATTCTTTTCGTCAATGTACTGGATAATTTTTACTGGACAACGTGTACCTGGACGCATTCCAAAATCTTGTAAGTTATATTCTTTCACCGTATGCGTACGAGCGTTGTCGACTCCTACTTGAATTAAATTATTTTTAAAATCCTTTTTGAACTCTAATAATAGACGTTCAAATTGGTTCAAAATTGTTTGATTGTCGAAACAACCATCAACTCCGACATTGATTGATGCTGTTGCTGAGTATTCTTCAGAGCTTATGTCTGTATCATTTAGTAAATCGGGGTATTTTTTAACAGCAGTAGACCATTCTTGTCTAGTCAAACGGAAGAATGGACCGCTCGGGTGCTGAATATAATCTGAAATCATGATACTTCGCCCTCTTCCCTTATTAAAGAATGGTGCATTATCATTGACAATCCACCGTTTAGTACTTATTTCTCCTGCCCCGAAACGTTGAATCGTCATGACTTAGATAACGAGAAAAAATGATTTTGTGAACTAAACTTTAAAGAAAACTCAGCTGTGTTTGACCTACAACTGAGAATTGTTGGCTTTGGTGTAGTAGGTATGACCAAGAGGCGGCGGAACCACTAGGCTGGGTACTGCTTAAGCCATTCTCGGATTTGGCTCTGTTAGGCTGAGCATTACCCTATTTTGATGTAGAATTTTGAATTTAGCACTATGTTATTTAGATAATACTTGGCTACATTGACAGAAAGGCCTCATTTGTCTGAATAAAAGACCAAAAGACGTTTGGCCGCGTGTATTAAACTCGGCTTTTTTTGACTGATCTTAAACGCAGAGACTAACATGAGATATGTGCAGTGAGGACAGAAGACTGGATCACGATAAAATGTTAACTTTTGGCATCCGAAACGCCAAGAAACTTCTAAATATAGATTGTCTTTTGTTCAAAATAGCGTAGTGATCCTTTAATCATATAGATATGCCACGTTTTTCAAACAAATTTACTTTGAATAGTCTCGAGCAAACTTTATCCGTTTTTTGGCCTTTTTGCTAGGTACGTCACTTTTTTTGGAGTCTGAGTAAAAACAGCTTGGATTCCTGGAGCTTGAGCTAACATTTTATTTTAACGAATTGACTCGAAAAAGTATTTCCTTGTTTGCTTGCTTGTTCTTGTTACGAAAACTTTTATTACGGAAAATTGCACTTTCTCGAAAAACTTTCTAAATTTGCTGCTTTTCTTACCACGGGCCTTACCCATTTGGGAACGTTCCGCCGCCTCTGGTATGCCCCCTGGTCCATGGCCCTCAGAGTAAGGACGATTAGAATTAGCTTCGTGCTTCGCACCCCAACGTCTTAAATCCAATCAATAACTTTCAATTGAATGAATTAAAACATTATCAGTTTTTTTCAGACTATTAAGTTCATAAAAGTGTGTATCAATAAAATTGCCTAAATCGGCTACCACGAAGCTGTTGGATTTTTGCGAATAGGCAGAAATCACAAAAGCTTGTGCTTCGATCTCTAAATGTGGGAACACATCATAAAAACTATCTTTCTGTTTCCCACCTCTTCCATCATTCATAAATTCATCAAAATCCTTTGAAAATGTTTGAATCCATTTATGACATGTTTATGCTGTCGTTGCACCAATTGATAATAGAAATGCATCTGCATCACGAAACGAAATGTCGAAATGCGTTAATATCATATATATCATTGTACTCAAAAATCTTGGATTACATTCTTCTTTACATGAACTAAAAACATCACTAATTTCAAATAACATATTTTTTTCTGTAAAATTAATAGAATCTTCTTTTGTATCAGTAAAATTTTCATCTTCACTTGAAGATTCTTGTGACGTCTGGTTCGCACAATTCTCGTTAGACAATCGTTTTGCAGATACTCGACGTTACTGTAAGTACACTGACTTTGTGTAGTGTACCAGAGGTAGATGGTGTGTTTAGTTGACTAAACCAAGTCAGTATAACTAGCTAAATCAGCTTTATTTTATTTTGAATTTTTGAAAAGAACTGGTAACCAGTTCCCGTTCAACAGAAAGTGAACTGGTGACCGGTTCTTAAGAACTATAGGAACTGAAACTGTCCAACTTGTAGCATTAACGCTGATGCCACTGATGTAAATGTACTTAGGATAAAGATAAGCATTAATGGCGATGATAATAGAAGACAGCTCAATGTTTGAAATAGCATGAGACAGATTAGCCCTCGAGAACACCGATGCCTAACAGTACGCTCCGAATGAACCATTGACGAGGTCATGTGGCATTTCGAACCGTTGACGAGCCGAAAACGAGCAATGAGAGTGGGATTAGAAGATAATTAATTAACGTAGTGTAGATTTGTAGAAATTAACTGGAAGTATAACATACATACGGATATAAATGTTGTTGCAGGAATCCGAATATATGTCATTTCAAAACAGATTGGTATATGAATGTCCATGAATGCGTAATGTTCTCTGTTCTTATACACGAGACAAGAGTAAATATTTTGTCTCTATCTTATATTTTTCTTTGTCTTTCTCTTTTCTGTCTCAAGCACAGAAAAGAAAGAAACAAAGATATACAATGCGAAGGGAATCTGACACTACTTATTTGCTACAGCACTAATAATAGAAAAAACAATAATAATACTGAATGGAACAATTATTGTGGAAAAAACACAACAAGTTACCTTGGACATTATTGTGCACATGTTGCGAAAGAATAGAACAAACGTCATAATTGAGAAGGATTGCTTAATTATTCATCATACAAACCTATAAAGCAAAAAAAACGGTTTTATTGTCTATTTACAGTATAATTCTTCTGTAATCGGACGAGCTGTGCCATAAACTAATACTATTAACAATAATTCATTGACTTCAAAATGACAACTTTAAGTACCACTGAATCGAAAGGTGTGGTCAATGTGTATCAAGTTTGGAATTATCGCTTGAAGTTGGACGGTTTCAATTTGAGCTTACGTGGGCATTCGCGCGCCGCTGAAAAGACTGGCTTTTATATACCTGAATTAGATATAATGCTAGATGCCGGACTTCAATCACCCTTTCATCCAAAATTAATTTTAATTACACATGGTCATTCGGATCATTCATTTGCCTTGCCAATGATTCTTACTGGAATTAAAAGTATCCCAACGATCTATGTCCCGAATAATACGAAGCATTTTTATGATCAATTTATCCAAAGTGTTGCATGTTTGACATCACAAGATAGTGAAGCGAAGGCGACAAATTTTGATCTGCAAGATGTGAAGCCAGGTCCTGATCGTTTACCATTTGTCACTAAGAACCAAACCTTTTACGTACAAGTTTTTTCTTGTGATCACAGTATTGATTGTGTGGGTTATGGTTTGATGCAAAGTAATAAACGACTCAAGGAAGAATATAAAAACCAAACAAAAGATGAGATTATTGCCTGTCGAAAAACCGGTATTGAGATCATGGAATCCTACATTATGTACATTCTGGCTTACTTAGGAGACACTACACCACTCGTGTTTGCACAAGAACCTGACATTTTTCAGTACAAGTATATAATGATAGAATGCACTTATTTATATTCTGAAGACTTGGAGCTAGCTATGAAGAATAAACATTCCTGTTTTACACAGTTAAAAGAAATTATTACTAGTCATCCAGAAAATACGTTTATTCTTATTCATTTTAGCTTACGCTACTCCGCAGAAGAGATACGAAGCTTCTTTTTGACAGAGGAGAACCGACTACATAATATTATAGTTTGGACCAATTAAATATTTCAAAATCGAGATGTATTCAACTAATTCTTAAAGTAATCAAATATACCATCGGTTTTATGTCCCGGTTTTGACTCTCAAAGATCAAGAGTCTTCAACTGATAAAGTTCTTTGAGCACTAAGATAGTTACTCGCAAATGCCTCACAGCGGAAAAGAGTAATCCTTATTGGACGATTTGAGAAATCATTACTCTGAAAAGGACAACGCTTGGGAAAATGTTAGATAATGGTCAATAGCACTCAAAGCCGAATTAGTTTTTACTTACGAGGGAACTTCCCCAGATGTAAGCTGCCCAAAACTCAAAATCACAGTGAAATTTGTTTTTGGCATTATTACACATATTCAGATTGAGCTTAACGAGCTGATTACAAATAACACTTTTCGAGCCCCTAAAAGTAATTTCTTAAGGGAGAAAAACTCAAATTACTGAGAAGACCTCAAAAATACAAAAAACCATCCTCTATGATGAAATTGACTTTTTGAGCTTGTATTGCAAGATGGAAGGTTCGAACTATATTTTTATGAATCAGCATTGAAAACTGATTTAGAAAAAGATTTTCAATTCATTTCAGAGGTAAACAGTCGACCGCCATGGACGTCCGAACCAACGGCTGTCAACTGAGTATGACTTATTTTGTAAACCTATCTAGTTTTTTAGGTGAAGAGCTATATCGGTGATTCACACACTATCAGATCGGCCGATACGCCAGCTTTAAAAATATGTAGAGCTTTTTTCAAAATTCGTTTTCCTTGCTGAGAAAAACGGCTTTATTGAAAACCAAAGAGAAACAGCAAGGTGATCTTTGGAAAACCAGGCCGTGTGTAAAAGTTTTCAATAGGATTGTGCTGATTTTCTTCCATGCTATGATAGCCCAAGGTATCCTCTTCAAAATGAGAGTCAAGTGAGACCTCGGTTTTCCGCGGCTCGGGTGTTGTGTCGGATTTATTGCGAGTCCCACGACTGACACTCGGTGACTGTTGGTAGCCTTGAAAACAGATGGACTATAGGTAATCGATCATGCTGAGTCTTGTGACAATATTGGCGTTTAGAAAAAGTTCTAAAATTTTACTATTCAGTCAATAAACATCAGAACGGGTTCAAGACTTCAGAATATACAGTGTTTGAGCTATTCTATATGATTGTAAGATTTGTGTAAGATCTTAAACAAATGTAAGCAAAATCTTACTAAGATCTTAATAAGATTATTTTAAGATCTTAGTGAGATTTTAGTAAGTTTTTTACTAGGGCCATGCTTCGGGAGGGGTATTACTAAAATACCCTTTATCGAAAAAACCGTTTAGCGTATCAACAGAGCTCGCAAAATTCAGTGAACTCGTCGTAGAAAGATTCTTACCATAACAATACCCCTGAAAGATTAGCTGTACCTGTTACCAATATAATTCTAAACAACGAAATTTAATAAGTGCTGAAGAAGTTTTAGCTGTTATGCGTCGATTAGAAAAAAATTATGGGCTATTAGCGCAGTTTTCAATGAAAGTTTTCGTGCTGAAAGCCCAATAGTGATCATCAAATAAAAGAACTACAGCAAAGTTGCACAAGGAAGTATGAATATATACCACCATCAGCTTTATGTATGTCATTTAATCTATGACTGCACTCATCTTGATGTAAAATGTCTTTCGCCTTCCATGTTTGGATATAATTTTTAATATGATCGATGTTTTGTTACGTCTACCACATTTTAGAAATTCAGGATTACAACTTCGTCGTACAGAAACGTCACCTGTCCATATGGGACCATCGTTGATTCATTATGGAAATAAATCGGAATGTTATGAACATTTGATAAATTATATTAAAGAAAATGGTCAATATCCGCTTATAATTAGGAGTGATACGGCATCAAAAATTAAAAAAGCTGTGTCCAAAGTTTTCCCACCAACAACCCATTTATTTTGTACACGTCACGTACGTCAAAATATCAAAGGGTAATTGATTAAAACAAGAGTACATCAGGATGATAGACAAAAGCTGTCGGAAACTGTATTTGATTTACCTGATTCATTAATTAAATCAGATTAGCCGAATTTGAACATCTTTGGAATGAAATAAAAAACCCTACTCCAAATAATTATAATCATGTGCTGGATTTTCATGATTGGTTTATTATATATCAGTCACAAACTTTTCAAGAACATTTAATCAATGGTATTCGAAATGCACCTGGTTATGTGAATCAAGACGGTACAGCAAAATTATTTAATAACGACAATGAAGCTATTAATCATATGTTAAAAAATGAGTCAGATTGGAAACAAAGACTATTATCCGATGTATTAGATCTGATTGATAGATCATTAACAGCACAAAAGAAAGAAACAATCAGAAGTTCGTATGGAGGTGGTGAATCACAGTTAATTGATCCTTTTTGTTCGGTAAGAGCAAGTATAACTCTCCTGATCTGGAAAAATAATCCGATCCCTTTTAGATTTGAATATGATAGTAGAATCTGATCAAGTAAATCTCAAACACAACGAGTACACATAATACGCGGTTATTATGCTTATCAACCACCCATACGGCAACCAATGACTGATTTTAATATTCCCGCTACTACAGGACGAAACCTGGGAAGAAAAGTATTCGTGGGACAACAACAGCCATAAGATCACCATGAAATTAAAAAAAAGTGCTTTAAATATGTAATTATTAAACATATACATTATTGGATACTATAAAGAAAAAAAGTCGCTGCTAATAAAAACATTGAAGAACAAGGGGTTATATATTTCGAGGCCGAAGTTTTGTAGAGAATTTCACGGCCGTTCTTCTGCTGTACTTTATGAATCACTTTTATCGAGAAAAAAAATTATTTTTGATTATACAGGAGGATCATCCCAAAGTTGGGTTGGCCGACCACCTCTGCTCTCATCAGATCTCCTATGAATTCAGAAGTGATCTAATAGGCTCAAAAAAGGATAATGATTATTCTGGCATATTATTTTAGGTGTTTGCATCACATTTTGGGGTGTTAGTGTGTTCCTAACGAAAAAGCCCTAATGAATCCTCTTTGAAATAAATTTTTTCGGTGTTTGTTTAATGTTACTTTATTCACAAAGAACAGGTCTATCGACCGGTTATAATTTGGGGTATTGGCGGATGTTAGTGGCTGTCAGCGTATTTCAGTAATACCCGTTCGGGAGCTATGGACGTTTTCCTGAAGCCTTAGCACTTCTCTGCCGTTAGGTTTTTACACTTACACACCCGCGCCAACCTATTCTCTTACACACAGACAAAGACAGGAAAAAAATTCAAAGCCACTAGAACAAACAAGAGAAACTGAAGAGTTTAAATCTAATTCTGAAAAAATGTTGTAAAATTACAATAGTGTACAAACTGAAACGAATCGATATACGTCGACGAAAACGTGTCGGTCTGACAAAAGCCAACGGTTCCGACGGTGGGTTGTGGCTTTGGGTTGGAAAGCCCAACAGTGATGAATAAACTGGTCTTTTGTGCGAAGAGTAACTTTCTTTTCTTCTTTCAATACTAGCAACGGAATGGATCTATCTACCAGCTAAGCATGAGACAGATTATCCTCACCGATTGTAACTAGAGAAAGAACGGGAAAGTGTTCTGATGAAACGAAGAAGTGAACCAATATTTTGATGATGTTATTACCCTCTATCGTGGTATTGATTCAGAATGTCGGAAGAAACAATGACCAAACATTTAGTGAGTGGAATTAAAATAAAATATAGGAAAGAATTGTCACGACGACAACCACAATATATAGCATTGACCAAATTCAAGATTTTTTGATCAGAATAAAAAAAGGTTTACATCAGACGTTTAAAAAGTCTGATGAAATGAACATAGAACAAAGCCGTATTCTCATTTAGTCTAGACTCATATTCATCAATAGCAATGACTCAGCAACAGCATGATCGTTGTCCAGCTTTTCAAAATAACGTTTATCATATCAACGGAGCTCGCAAAATTCAGTGAACTCGTCGCAGAAAGATTCTTACCTTAGCACTTTGACACCAATAGATTTTCAAGGTAATTCGACTGTAACTCGTCCAAAACTGGTTTGACAGACAAAAACTAGGATATATAGGCAACTTGACATGCTCTACGATCTGGGCAGATGGAAAAATCTATTGAAGTAAAAAGAATTTGGGTTGAAAAATCGGTTTCCGAAGAACCGCGTCTCCAAAAACTCATATGTCGCTCCGATCATCATATTTGGTATTACATCATCGATAACCTGTGCTTATGTGTGCTCCGACAAAAAGACTCGGAGGCACTTGGGATCCTTCCCTTGTGAGTGTAGCCGAACCAGTACTTTCGATCGGTGTATAATATGTTTATACTTTATGTCAAATATACTTATCAGCTTGAGGAAATATGAATTTCCAAAAAACCGTTCGATGGAAGAATAAGTCATATAGATTATGAAAGTAGACGCTCAGGCTATCTTTCCATGTGAGTATCTCAAAATCGAGTTTTTGACCAAAAATCATCATTTCTGAAGGGTGGTCTTTAAATCATCATATTCTTAAGAGAACTTTTTTGTGCTTTCTGTTGTTACGTTTTTCTACACTTAATTAATCGCTTAAGCCCTACTTAGTGGATACTTCAAAAATTCTTTTTGAGAAATTTCATTTCTATTTTATTATATGAAATAAACAAACTCAATAGGCACTTGAAAGCAGTCAACAATAAGTGCATGATCCAAAGAGAAAGAACCTCATTTTTTACCATTTTACAAGTATCTATTCAGAAACGAGCAAGCAAAACCAGTCGAACTTTGTGAAGTCAAATCCTGCCGGTCCTGGAATTTTTTGACCTGTTCTCTCCAACCACAAAATACTTTTAGTTGATCTGAACTGACCTATGCACAGAAACACGTTTCCATGTTTATTTAGCTTCTGTTTCCATAAACTGAGCAGTGTAGCTTCCAAATGGATTCTTGAATCTTGTCGCATACTAATGAGCCATTCTGTCATTCTGGGTTTTCATGCTTAACTGATGTGCAGTCAATTTTTTAAATGTATAGTTCAGGGTTATGGAAGCAATTTTTTCTCTATCTTTCTTTCTTTCTCTTTCATTCCTTCCTTTATTACTACTCTATCGAGTGTAAACCGGTAGAATAGAAAGAAAAAATGTCCTGGATGTGTTGGTTTTTTCCAACTCACATTTCACATGATACCTAGAAGTAAAAAAATGAAAAACACTCTTAAGAATATGAAATCACAGTAAGTGAATTCTTGTCAGATTATCTTGTGTCTCATTTCTCGACTTCTCTTCGTTTAAAACACAGTTCACAGATTATATTCTCATGTAGCGAATAAAGCAGACCCTCCAATACGGATATAAGATTTTTTACCAGAAATAACTTCAAATTCTTTTCCGCAGTTGAGTTTTCAAGAGCAAACATTTCTCTACAAAATGAGAGATTCCGCTACTTATAGTAATTCTTTATGGGCGACTTATAATAATTTTCGTGTGACACCTAACATCAGTTTTTAACTGGTGCATGGCATACTAACGGATAGACCATCTCTATTTCTATACATTTTTACGCAAAAGGCACTAATTGATTCTACGTGATTTTCAGTGTCAATACTAATCTAATATTGATTCACAAACCTTTTTGAAATGAGTTAACAGGACCTAGCTCTAAACAACCATCGCGCACTCACAATCGGACACATTCTAATATGGTTCAAAATTTCAAAAAATGACTAATTTTTCAAAAATATTCCATATCTCGGCTGTAGGTCCTCTTGAATCTTCAAAACAATTTTATTCGAATCCAGTATTGGAAACTGAATCTAGAAAACTATGTTTCAAAGCTTCGAAAACAAAAAATGAGTTGCCAGTGGGTAATAGCAAAGAGGCTTCCGAAAGTGTGCCCGGTCCATTTTACAAACCTGTCTGATTCTTCAGGTTCACAGATGAAGCCATCATTTTCACTTCATCCGAACATCGATTACTTTTACAACAAAAGTATGACTGACCTGTTTTAAAATTGTGTTGCGTTTCTTGGATATTTCATTTTTCTGAACATTCTGCAGGGTTTTCATCAAACCCTCTGGAAACTCTGTGGAACTCCCGAAAGTGTTTTTCGTTAGATGCCACAAATGTTTGTACCTATGAAACGCATTTTTCATGAGATACGAGTCAAAATTGACCGATGTATAGAAAAAAGACAGTTTGGGACAAAACAGTCTAAAATTTCAGAAAAGTAGAATATCCTAGGAACGCAACAAAATTTTAAAACAAGCTAGTCATACTTTTGTTGTAAAAGTAATGGCTGCTCAAATGAAGTGAAAAAGACGTCTTCATCTTTGAACCTGAAGAACTAGACAGGTTTTGCAAAATGGACTCGATATTTTCGCATCTAACAATTAAGTTTGCGCAAAAATATAAAAGTTCAAGCTTCTAAAATAAACTAAAATTTTACAGCTCTATGAAAAATTATTTATTACAGTTAAAAATGTCATAAATAAACAATTCCATATTCTCTAAAGATCATCTTGGAATGCTCCCAAATGAAAGCGTATGACAATGTGAATTTTAGGGATGTCAATCTAGTGTAAATTTAGAAAATAAATATAAATTCGTGATCTATCTGTTATTATAAATGAACAATAAAACTAAAGTAATATCCCTCGTGCAGAGAAAGAAAGCATGAGCAGCGATGGATATTAAATTCCATCAGCTTCAAAGTTAACTATAATTAAAGGTGTTGCGAGATAAACGCGATGAAACAGTCGAGAGAATTTATCTCGTCTTTGACAGTACATGGAGCAAAACAGAAAAAGTATTTATATAGAAGAGGTGTAACAGTGCAGATGGGAATATCATTTTCTTTCACTTGTGAACGACTATAGATCAGAGATAAGATTGTTCTTTTAAGAAACCACTAGAGCAGATTGAAATCAGGGACGCCGAGAAGTACAAGAAGCAGAGGGGATCCTCTGATGTAGAAGTAAATCGAAAAATTATAAAAATGCCAGTAAATGTCTGATTTGCTAATAATACGTAAGCTTTGACATACAAGACATTTTAGTTGCAAAAAACTTTATGCGCTTAACTTTTTTGCTATAGTTTCTGCAATAAAACTAAACATATTTTCCATTTTCTGAACTGATTTTTGTTCTAACTCGCAGACACTTAACTATGGAAAATAACTAAATTATTCTGAAATCTGTTGCTGTGCTTTTCAAATACGCTTTCCCTGTTTTAGTTGTTTCATGAAGTCGTAGTTAATGTCTGAGACATAAACTTCTTTAAAATTAAGGTTAAAACGTACCGATTCATCCTGATGACCTGAGGAATTGATTGAAAATCTAAACCTCAAATTTTGACTGTGGGTGTAGACTCAGCGGACAAAGGCTTTTTGTTAAGAAGAGTGAAGCGTTTATACCGCGGGAGTTGGGAGCCAGTTAGTGGAAGAGAGCAAGAAGAATGCAATGCTTTCAAAATGCAAGTCGTAGCAGATTTTCTTGTAAACGAAAATGTTTGTTGATGTTTGCTCTTAAATCGAGAGTATTTATAATGAGTAATCAACGACTATTCATTATGCGACACTAAATCAGAGCTCAGAAGCTTTTCATCTTCGTTTCCCCATGCTTTTATCGTTATTAGGATACACCAGATGGTGCTAATTATTTATCTCATTTCCTGAGTAATAACTTTTTTTGAATTTGGGGTAAAAGATTTGGGAGGAGGGGGATCCATCTCCCTGGTCCCGATGTCGCGGCGTCCCTGATTGAAATAGTGCTTTTATTCTATTTAATCTTTTATTTTAATTATGAAATAGTGCTTTCCCATCTTTGTTTCGTACGAACGAAAGCTGGCTAAGAAATGAAAACACTATTACAATCTGTTTTACTATTAGTCACACATTTGGTTAGTCGTAGACGTCTTTTCCTTTCTTGCTAATGTTTTACTACAGAACGAGATAAAATGAATAACATCGGTTTTCTTTCGCTACTCATCCATTAGAGAAAGAAAGTGAAAGTTTTACTTCAGATCCTTTGAAATTACATTGATATATTTCAGTCAACTTGTGAAAGGATGACTCATAGTTTCCACAGAAAGAGGTAATAACAAAGACACAAGAAGCAGACATTAGTAACGGCCACATAAACTCCACAGTATTTGAACGATAGGTCATACTTCAAACCTTTTTACATCTCGTATAGGTGCCATCGGGATCTGTAAAATAATGCAACATTCGCTTTTATTCCTGCTTACAAGTGTGAGAAAATATGTGTTGACGCTGAAAATGCGTCATCGCGTTACCACAAAAATGTCACAAAGGCCAGACAGGTATAGGTGAGACGAAATGGTCCTATTCTAACATCCACCATGTTAAAACAGGTGACTAAAACTTGTGGGAAAAAGCAAACAACAGAAATAAAAGAAACAGCTGCGCTACGAGTAATAGAAAAGAATGGTCAGTAAGAGACATTCAACAATTATCAAAATAGACGTATTTGTTTATAAGTATTACATACTTCCGTCATCACAGATGGAGTGCTGAGCAAATACAAAGATACGTTAACAATAAAATGAGTTTTTTCCAACATAAAACTAAATTGTTGGAAGTTTTGTGTTCCACGTGTTTCTCTGACAAAAATTAAATGTCAAAAATACCCATTTCATTCTTGGTGATTGTTGTTGTAAAAGGTAATCGTTACTTCTTGCTTCCGAGGAAGTTATTCCCGCTGTTCCTTGAAACATACTTGATTTTGGGTAATTTTTTATGTCGACGACTAATCTGATATTTGCCGTTAGACTCTTGTGGAATAAATCTTTGTAAGTCAGGTCTCTCAGATCCATTAGAAACTTTAAGTTGATCAGATTCTGATCAACTCGGTTTGTAGAGCACATCGGGTTCCCTGTATAGCAAAGTTTTAATCGAGGCATCAAAGTAGACTTTCAATTACAGTAAAAGTCTGAACCTAGTAAAACTTTGATAACTCTATTTAAATTTGGTTCAGCAATTGTGAAAACTTTTCTATAAAGGATGTCCCATAATAACTGAGAATAAATTGTCAGTGACATTTCACATACTTTTTCTGGATGGAAAATTCAGCTATTTTTTGAAAAATATTCACTGTTTGATTCTCTACAAAATGGCATATAGAAGATGATTCTGAGGCGTCAGATCCCGTCGCGATTGAACAACAACTGACACACCCCAACAACTTCTCCTTGCGTCGTTTTGAAGAGAAATCTTTTATCTACTCGATTCGAGTGCGAAATGTCTGACGTGACCTCCTTGAAAATGATCGAAACGCTGAAAATACCATTTCGTTCATCTTTGGCTGCCAATTATTAACTAAACACATTTACCACATCAAACGGATTGGGAAGAAATGAATCTTGCCCCAACTGATAGGGGGCATCTAAACGTGCCAAGAACGACCTGAGATCTTTTCTCTGTCACTTTGGACATGGGTTTCAAAATTCAAAATCATCATCGAAAAACATATTATTTTTTGAAAGTTTTGGAGCATTTTGATTTCTGTTTAGTTAAGAATGGCAACTTGAGCCTCAGGATCACCTTCCATATAGCATTTTGTAGAGAATTAAATGGTGGATATTTTGCAAAAAACAACTGCATTATTCATCAAGAAGAAGTATGTGAAATTTCATTGACAATTTACCCTCAGTTATTATGGGACACCCTTTATAGGTAACCCAATGTGCTCTACAAACGGAATTGATCAGAATCTGATCAACTGTAATTTGCTAATGAGTCCTCAAGGACCGGAGTCACAAACATTCACCCCACAAGAGTCTAAGGGCAAGTGTCAGATTTGTGGCTAATATCCACAATTACCCAGAATCAAGTATGTTTCAAGGAAAAAGGGAAGCGATAGTCGAGGGAATTGCTGCGACAGTGGAAAATTCATGAACACCTGACTAGAAGTGAATATATTTTCTATTCATTGGTTAGTTGGTTCACGTTAGAGCTCAAATGGAATCGGTTGATATTATAGCCATATTGTTTTGCTTGACTGGTTTAGTTACTGCATATTTCCTTCGTGTCAACCGACTATCTTCAAAACATTTTTGGTGGGAATAAATAGTAGCACCTGCTCTTTCTTTTCTGTTTTTCTTGCCGTAGATTCAAGCATTTTTTACTTTTCATTGCCTTTGAAAATTTGTTGAAATACAAGTTATCCATCAACACAGTCAGTATGAAGACATATCCGATCTGGATATGCTTCCCATTCGGAGTATATATCAGAGGTGGGCAATGGACCGGGATCCTCGCGAGGTCCTGCAGGGAAGAATTTCTGAAAACTTGACGAGGCAAGAACTGCACGATTTGAAGTCCGCGGACGATATTTTCTGCTTCTTAGCGAAAGACGAAATGGAGACACTGGACGGAATTCTTTTCAGTTCACTTGAAAAATATGTTTGTTTAGCAGAGGGCATCTACCTTGCACACTGCAGTTTCCTCAAGTGGAAGCTAAAGCTTTAACAGTAACAGTTGTATATTGTAAAGACTATTTCTGTCCTATTTTATTTGTTCTTCTGTCCTCGTATTACGTGTCCTGTATATCAGGCATCATAGTTAGTGAATTTTCTCTCGCTCATTTTATTCTTTGACCTATTCCTCTGTGTTAAATTGTTAATAGAACAATCTATTCAATTTGTTAACCGTTAATTAAACAATCTATTTTCTCTTTGTTTTTTTCTTTCGTTTTCTTGCGCATACCTATATATAGGGTTGGTCATCGACAATTTGTTATTATTAACATCTTAATGTTTAGTACAGCGGACTCAGGAGGATCGATGAAGAAGTGCCGCGAAAAACGTTGTCAGTAGTTGACGATGGACGAGGCGGTCCCGCGGGGAAGGATTTTTGAAAGCTTAACGAGATATGAACTGCACGCGGGGGCGCTAAAAACAGTTCATCGTCCACCTCTGATATATAGCCCGATGGGGATATTCTTTATACAGCAAAATGGTTTTTTATACACTGAACGGGTTGTAGTTTGAAATTTTATCCCAATCGGGATATAATTCGGTGTCCCGATTGGGCTATCAGAAAAATCTATATCCCAATCAGGATATCAAAATTATTACTTTCACATTGACATGGTTTTCATCAAATCTAATTATGATTAGTATGAAAGGGGTATCGCTGTGCTAGGCAGTATGAGTATAAATGCCACAACGACTGGAATGATGATGTTCTTTTGGCATCTTCAAGAATGTTGGCTTCACGACTGTTACACGTTTTAAAAGATACAGCAAGTTGTGATTGTCTTATGAAAAACATAAAAGAGTTGCTTTTGTGTTTTCTGATAGTTTTGGTTTAGAATATTATAATGAAATCTTTTTTCGCTTGTATTCTGTGTTACATGATTCGCTGTCCTCAGACATCATGTAAGACTGAAGCTGTTATTGCGTAATCAATTGTTATCGCATAATCAGCTGTTATTGCGTAATCAATTGTTATCGCATAATCAGCTGTTATTGCGTAATCAATTGTTATCGCATAATCAGCTGTTATTGCATAATCAGTTGTTATTTCTTATTGCATAATCAGTTGTTATTTGTTATTGCATAATCATTTCTTATTGTGTAATTATTTATTGCATAATAGTTACGCCCTATCCACACTATATAAGCTCTCGATTCCGTGGGAGTTAACAATTCAGATTCGAAATAAACTACTACGAAACACGCTTGGACTTAGTTATCAATATAAACAGGGCTATCAAGTGGTGCGTTAGCCGGC